TCAGTTGTTTTGGGAAAAATATAAAAGAACAAAAATCTTAAATATATGTACACAAACACATACAGACAAGGGGGCTTCAAAAAGTTCCTGCAAAGACCTAAATGTGAAACCTAGACCTAAAAAGATTACCATTGTAAAAATAGGGACAAGCTTAGGAGTTCTGATACATGGCATAAATACACTATCAAACATAACAGACAACACACAAACAGTAGAAGACAAAACAGATGACTGGGACCTCCTAAAACTCAGGCACATATGTGTATCAAAATAGAGATTCCACAAACTGGGAAAAAAATTTTGGCAATAGTATATCAGCTAAGAGACTACTCTCTAAAATGTATAGATTCAAAGAAAGATCTGCAGGAAAAAACCAAAACAAAAATGGCAGTATGATTGGCTACTACAAGAATAAACAAGTTATTTGCTGGGAAGCCATCAAGGTAAGCACTCAAGTCCCTTCAGGACAATCCCCTCCCTCCAAGACTGAAACTCAAAGGGAACACATGAGCAGGCATGTAAGCTTGCAGGCAATCACACTGGTCTTGAGAGGAAGAGGGGGAAAGGTACCAATAAAGAAATAGGCTGAGTACAACCACGTTCCATAGATTCCCGTTGACCTGGAGATGAGAGAGAGACGAGGAAGGGCTGGTTGGTTCAAAGTGTGGTGAGACCTGGGGACTACTGAGCCCATGAACAAGGACATAACCACAGAGGGCTAGAGCTGAGAGTGCAACATCCAGCTGATATTAAGTGAGGGAAGATGCACAAGAACACACAAACTTGCAGATAATACCCATATGACCTAGCCTTGGTGACTTGATAATCAGAACTCAACTAGAGGAATATAAAAAATAATAATAATAATAATTTTGATAGAGGAAATGAGGGTAAATTGCTACAATTCAATAAACTTAACCTGTACTCACAGATGTAGTAACTCAAAATACCAACAGAGAGGGAAGGAGTCTTCACATCAAGTATCAATACTATCCCCTCTGTACACAGGGTAGATAGGGATGGGCAACTTAGACATTGGCTACCTTAAATGTTGTTGTTGTTGTTGTTAAGTGCTGTTGAGTCGGTTCCGACCCATAGCGACCCTGTACAGGGTTTCCAAGGGTGTGTAAATCTTTACGGGAGTAGAAAGCCTCATCTTTCTCCCGCGGAGCAGCTGGTAGTTTCGAACCACTGACCTTAAGGTTTGCAGCCCGATTCGTAACTACTACGCTACAGAGACTGGCTTACAAGGTTTCAAGAGGGAGTTTAGTGTTAAGAGTGTGCAGGGGAAGGTAGAATCCCCACTGAATAGTTTTCATCTTGTCTAGATGGGTCTGGTGAAAAGAGATGGGGATAAGATTCTTATGATTCAATAGTAATTGTTATCATGACTAACTGAGACTGTCACAACTGTAAAGGTAGAAGTTTTGTAACAAAAACAGGGGAGCAGTTAATCTTACAGTACAGAAACAGAGGACCCTAGGACCATCAAGGGAGAAGAGCGCAAGCGGAATGTGGGATCCTATCCAGAGAAGCAGCAACACCCAAGATGGAGGCAGAGATGAAGACATGGAGAGAAGAAGCAGCTGAGGATTCTAAACTCAGGGAAAGAGAGGGATTGAATGCTGGTGGCCAAGAGGCAGACTTGCAGAATGTGCCCTATGGTTGTTTAAATTATTATATATTCCTGATTGTTTTTGTGTACATCTTTCCACCTGTCCCCTCCCCCCAAAAGAAAAACAGATGGAATAAAGCAAATACTGTTAAATAATGATGCATGGAGATTTTAATTATTGCAATTAAATAATGGTGTAAAGTCAATGTTCTCCCATGTAAACTATCACTCAGTTTACAGTGAAAAAATAAAATAAAATATATAGAACATTTCAACACCTCAACAAGATTACATCTTACCCCAGCATTGGTAACAAAGTTCAAAAAAAATAAAAACAAAACACAACAAATGCTGGTGTGGAGAGACGGGAACCCTCCTACACTGCTGATGTTGTTGTTAAGTGCTCTTGAGTCGCTTCCGATTCATAGTGACCCTGCAAAGGGTTTCCAAGGAGCGGCTGGTGAGTTTGAACTGCCGACCTTGCAGTTCTAACTGACCATGCAGTTGAGTGCTTATCCTACATTGCCACACCAGGACTTCACACTGCTGCTGGGACTGTAAAATGGTGCAACCACTGTGGAAAATGGTAGGGCGCTTCCTCAAAAAGTTGGAAATAGAAATACTGTATGACCCAGTAGTCCCAGTACTCCATACATATACCCAAGAAATGTGAGCCATGACACAAATGCATGTGTGCACATCCATGCTCACTGCAGCACTATTTACAATAGTAAAAGATGGAGACAACCTAAATGCCCATTGAGGAAGAACGAATGAACAAACTTTGGCACATACACACAGTGGGATACTATGCAATGTTGAATAATGATGATGAATCTGTGAAACTCTCATAACATGGGGATGAACCTGGAGGACATTATGTTGAGTGAAATTTGTCAATCACAAAGGGACAAATATTGTATGAGACCACTTTTGTAAAAAGTTAAAAAAAAAAAAGGTTTTGTTGCTAAAAGAAATATTCTGTGGTAGTTACCACCAGGGGTAGGAGAGAAGGAAAACTAATTCACTGGGTAGAAGGTAGACACATGCTAACTTGAGCGATGCTTCTTGTTGTTGCTAAATACTATCAAGTCGGGGTCCAACTCATAGCGACCCTGTACAAGGTTTCCAAGGTGAGTTGGAACTGCTGGCCTTAAACGGCCCAAACCGACGTTGCAGTTTACCGCATTAATTGGCAGCGCCACACCAGAATTGAGCGATGGAGAAGGCAATATACAAGAGGGAGGTTGGCACAGGAAAGATGAAGGTAACAGAAGACAGAAGGAGAAGTACAAGAGTTAAAGGGAACAGAGGTAAACAGGGTTAACTGTTGATAATATGGAAAAGACTGTCATCATTATAATGACATATAACATATGATTTGTTGAAAGTGGGACTGATGATCTGCTCTGTAATCTTCACTCAAGTCACAATAAAAAGTTCAAAACACAAAAAGTTCCCAGAAAAATGGAATTAAAAAATGCAATTTCCCCACAAACTTTTTGAAGATCCTGATGTTTATGTACGCATACACCTACCTACCTCCACCCACGCCCCTGTATGTCTGTATACATATATATTTAATGCCTCTCTCTATATTTTATGCAATCCCCATCAAAATTCCAACAGCCTCCTCAAATACATAAAATGAAATCTCAAATACATAGAACTGCATGGGGTCCCAAACAGCCAAAGAAATAATGAAGAAGGAAAAAAAAATTTTCACATTTCCCCATCTCAAAACATCCTATAAAGCTACAATTATCAAAACACCCAGGTACTATGTCACATGTTGCTGTTGTTGTTAGTGCCATTGCATCAGTACTGACTCATAGTGACCCTGTATAGGGTTTCCATGGAGTGACTAGTGAGCTTGAATCACCGTTTAAGTTCAAAGCCACCTTTCAGTTCACATTAACCCACAGCACCACACCAGGACACTATAAATTATAAATGTAGAACTATTGAACTGGTCTATCTTCTACTGTGTATATTCTCAACATCATAAATTGAAACAAAAACAAAAGTTTAAAGTTTGGTACAACTATAACAAGAGACATACTGACTAATGTCCATAAATAAAGCCATGAATCTATGATTGGCTGCTTTTCAACAAGGGTGCTAAACCCATTCAATGGGGAAAGAATAATCTCCTCAAAAAATGATTCTGGGACTGGATTTCCACATGTAAAAGAATGAAACAAAACTCATATCCACAACACACACAAAAAATGTTAACCATATACCAAAATTATCCTCACAGCCTGAACTTTAAGAATCAGGTTATAAAGTGAGTGAAATAGGTTATTAAATGCATATCAAAATCTTTTGGCATGCTTTGGTTGTTTAATGATTGCATATTTCTGAGTGTTTTGGTGCACATCCAAAAAAAAAAGAAGCAAATACTGTTGAATGATGAAGCATGCAGCGGATTATAATCATTGCAATGAAATAAAATACAACAGGATGAGTGCAAAACTGATGTTCCCCCATGTAAATAAACACTTAAAAAATATATCTTTTGGCATGGGACCCAAAAATTAACTGCTATTATTTCAAGATATTAATGAATACCTGAAACATTAATTCTAATCTAGAGTGTCTAAAAAGCAGCCTATATTATACTCAGAATAGTTTAAGTCCTGGTGTAGCACTGTGGGTTAATGTGCTGGACTGCAAGGTTGGTCTGAACTGCAAGGTCAGTGGTTCAAGCTCACCAGCCAGCCGTTCCTTGGAAACCCTACACAGGGTCACTATGGTCGATGGCATTTAACAACAACAAATATTTGTTTTTCAAATAAAAATTAAATTGAAGGAAATTATCTGCAACTAGAAACACAAAGGGGCTTCTTACGTATACATAGAAATACACATACAGAGAAAGAGGATGTTTAGTCTTAACAGCATCATTTACCTTCTGCCTTTCTCACAAAGCTTCTCAATTTCAGCTTTCAGATCTTGCTCCTTCTGTAAAAATTCCTTCTTTTCCTTTTCTATCTTCTTCTTTGTTTCCTCCCGCTTTATTGTCACATCCTGGATAGCCTTTAATATCTCCTGATTCCCACACAATTACAGTCACACACAAATAAAGAAGGAAGTTAGTTATTTTGTCTGAAGGCTATTTTTCAACTATCATAAATCCACATACTGATTTTAGTGAATTCAATTGAACGATGAAATTTCATTTGAGTATCTCCAAGAGGCAGTATTCAGACCTAAAGGAGAAAGTTACAATAAAGCAGATTTCAACTCAAGAGACTAATTTCTAACAACCACAACTGTTTAAAAATGGAATATACTGCCTTGTGAAGCAATAAGCTCTCCTGTACTGGTATTCAAATAAAGGCTGCATAAACACCTGTCAGTAATGCTGAAGAAGGCATTCTTGCACTGAGTGAGTTTGCTACCTCTAACAAATATGGTCTTCTTATGCTTTGTGTGTTTTTGTTTTGTTTAATATTTAACTAAAATATACAAGGGTGCTTCAGAAAGCTCGTGGAAAAATTCTACTAACTTTTCATTCCATTTTTCCATAAGCTTTTAGAAGTCCTTTTGTATGTGTGTGTGTATAACATATAATAATATATACTTGTAATAAATCAAACAATAAAAAGGTGATAAAGTTAATAGTTATATCCTAATTTATACAATTCCATCCATTAGGTAATCAATGTATTGTTTTGTACTAACCTTTTTAATTTTCCTCTATTCTCACACAAAGGTATTTCTTAGTTTTTTAGCCTTTTTTAATGAGATAATTGTCTATACATTCTTCTGCATCCTGGGTTTTATTTTTTCATTTGAAATATACATACTTCCATGTCTATAAATATATCTCTAACTCAAAAAGACCTATATAATATTACATATTATGGATATACTCAATTTATTTAACCATTCTGTTTTGATACTCTATCAGGTTGATTGTAATTATTGCTAACTACAAGCAATACTATAATAAACATCTTTATATATATGCTGTTTCATATAAATAGTTTTATTTCTACAAAATGTACTACTAATAATGAGATTACGAGGCCAATGTGTATGCACGAGGCAAATCTCAACAAGTTTATGGGAAATTCCAATGTCTTTTAATTCCATTTTTTCCACAAACTGTTTTTTTTCCCCATGAACTTTTGAAACTCCTTGTGTATTTAAAATTTTAACGGACAATTTCAAAAATGTTGTAAACCATTCATATGCCTAACAATAATGTCTAAAAGAGTTCATCTGTCCTTAATCCAGACAACGTATTTCATTTTTGCTTTATTATGTAATATTATGTAAGAATTTTAATGTGTACTTCCCTAACTCCCACTCTTTATTGTTTTTACTATCTGTCTCTCCAATTAGAGTAAATGTTCAGTGAAGGCACGTATCAGGCACTCAAAAAATATTAGCTGAAATCCTTATTAAAGTTTTGAAGGAGAATTTCAATGAGATAGCTTTGTACACTACTGATATTGCATGATTTGAAAACGTCACTTTAAACCTGCTTTCTACATTGAATCTGAAGTTACGTTTTTTATGTTCATAGAAAATGGCCTCAAAGACGTAATAATAAAATATCTTTACTTATTCCTCCCACAGTAGTGTTAACATGGGAATACTGGAAGGGAACAATTTTTTTGCTGAATGAATGAATGAATACCAGTAAGGCTGAGCTTCTTTTCATACATGCATTATCCATTTGCTATTCCTCTTCTGTAAAGTGCTACTATAATTGTAGTTGTTGTTGTTGTTAAGTGCTGTCGAGTCGGTTCCGACCCATAGTTACTGTATATAGGGTTTCCGAGGAGCAGCTGGTGAGCTTGAACCACTGACCTTGCAGTTCAAATGGTTTTGCAGTCTGGCGCATTAACCCACAGAGCCACACGAGGACTCATAATTGTAGTAGGCAAAACAAAAATCCCATAAATATGTCTACTTGGATCCCTGGTTGAACCATGGGTTAAGCACTGGAATACTAACCAAAAGGACAGTGGTTTGAATCCACCAGCCGCTCCTCAGGAGAACGATAAGGCAGTCTGCTTCCATAAAGATTTACAGCCTCAGAAATCCTAAGGAGCAGTTTCAATCTATCCTACAGGCTCGCCATGGGTCAGAACGACTCAATAGCAGGTTTGCTTTTGTTTTTAATATTTTTACATCCCAATCCCTGGAACCTATGAATATGTTATCTTCAATGGCAAAAAGGAACTTTGTAGATGTGATTAAAGGAAGAACTCTGATGTGGGCTTACTCGGGATTATCAGGGTGGGCACTATCTAATGCCTGAGTCCTGCAAATGGAGAGCCTTTCCCAGCTGTGGTCAGAAATGTAATGTTGCTGGCTTGGAAAATGGAAGGAGGAGCCATACGTCAAAGAATACATGGGCAGCTTCCAAAAACTAGAAAGTCAAAGAAACAGATTCTCCCACTAAAGCCTCCAGAAAAAATGTGGCTCACCATGGACATCTTGATGTTAGTCCAGACTACAGAATTGTTAGATAACAAATGTGTGTGTAGTTTTTAAGCCACTAAAGTCACGATCATTTGTTATAACAACAACAGAAAAATAATACAGTAACTTTTACTGGTCTTTTTCTAGAGTGTTTGCCTTTTCCATCATTCTCTAGAAATCTCAGAATGTCATGGATATTAAACCCTTTGTCAGATGTGCTTAAACTATTTTAATATCTTTGGATTTTTTAAAATATTACTTGTCATAGCATTTTAAATTACATGATAATCAAACTAATGTTTTTTCTTTATGGCTCCTGTTTTCCCTGCCATGCTTAAAGTTATCTCTTGTCAACTGAGAGTACATATCCTTCTAGATTTTCGCCTAATATTTATAGTTCCAGTTTTACTATGTAAATTTTTACTCAAGCTAAGAGCCCTTACAGGTAGACACTCAGCTGCTAAATAAAAGCTTGGTAGTTCAAACCCACGCAGTGGCTCCACAGGGAAAAAACAGGGTGATCTGCTTCTGTAAATATTGGTGGTGGTTATGTGCCGTGGAGTCTGTTCCAACTCATAGCGACCCTGTACAGGGTTTCCAAGGCTGTAAATCTTTACGGGAGCAGAAAGCCTCATCTTTCTCCTACAGAACAGCTGGTATTTTCGAACTGCTGACCTTGCGGTTCACAGCTCAATTCGTAACCACTATGTACCAGAGCTCCTTTCTGTAAATATTACATCCCAGGAAACCTTGGGGCAGTCCTACTCTGTCACATGTGTTGCTGTGAGTCAAAATTGACTCAATGGCACCTGACAGCAACAACAATAGGAGCCTAATAAAAAAATTTTCCACGTAGAGGGTTGTCAATAAAATATGTTACATAAATAAATCTTTTTCTCTTAGGACTAAAATAGGAGCAGGAGTTTGGACATGATGTCCTCTAAGGTTCTTTTTATCCTTAAAATTCTGTAACAGCCATTAAAAAATAATTATTTATTTTCTATTTCTATTCATTTAGAACCAAAACTACTACTGATGATTTCAATATAAGCAGAATACCTGGTGATTCTTCATTTCTTCTTCTCTCCTTTGCTGAAGCTGCTTCAATTGCACTTGGAGTTGATTCTCTACTTGCCTCTGCTTGTCTAGGACCTCCTGGTAACGCTCCTTCAATAGGGTCCGCTCTGACATCATTTTATCCTACAGGTAACAAGACAAAAATGTTTATTTCCTAATTTAATTGTAAGAAATATTCATCAAATACAGAACGCTAAGGCTACACTTGACAACTGTACAGCCACTATTCACACATGGCTATGTGAATTTAAAGTAATTAAAATTTAATTAAATTCTAAATCCAGCTCTTCAGTCACACTAGCCACGTTTCCAGTTGTGACTAGTGACTACTGTATCAGGCAGCACAGATACAGAACATTCCTATCATCACAGAAAGACTTATTGTACAACACCGTTCTAAGGCGGGGCTTGTCAACCTTCAGTTTATGGGCCAAATCTAGCCCAGAGCCCATTTTTGTAAATGAAGTTTTACTCGAACACAGTCATACTCACTGCTTCGTGTGTTACTTTCACACTACTAAGGTAGAGCCCATGCAGGCTGCAAAGCCTAAAATATCTATCTGATACTTTACAGAATGGAGTCCTGGTGTGGCGCTGGAACACAAAGCCAGTTTGAACCCCAAGGTCTGTGGTTCAAACTCACCAGCTGCTCTTCAGAAACCCTGTACAGGGTCATTATGAGTTAGAATTGACTTCACAGCTCTTAACAGCAACAACTTTACAGAAAGTTTGACGGCCCTTGCTCTAGGGAATATATATGGAAGGGAGCATTTTCTTATTCATTAAAAGAGCGAGAGATTAAAAAAAAAAAAAAGGACAAAACAAAGAGCAGATCTCCTAGAAAAATTCCACAGTATTACGTTTTATGGGGATTCTGACCCTGGAATCCATGGATGGGCCTCATGGCATTTCTGAACTCCAAAGACGTTATGTGTGTGTGTTTGTTCATATGTTTTTCTGAGATGAAAGTTTTTGAAGATTCAGAAAGAGAATCTTAAACCAAGAGAAGTTAAAGAAAGGACAAGAACCACTGGATGAAACCAGCAAATTTCAGCTACTACAGCTCTTTCCTTTTATTTCTATTAGATACCTTTTGTGTCTGTGGTGCACCTTTAGAATAACATAGAATAAGGAAAAAAATTCCTTTAACAGAAATAAGTCTCAGATACATACTTTTAATACATAAAGTAAAAAGCATACAGTAAATTCCTTGATCCAATTAATCTTAGCTAACATGGTAAAGGGTTGTTATACTTGGTCCCTTTGTCTCATCACTGGGTGCCTTAGGACCGGGAGTCACAATTTCAAATGCAGGTAGAGGGCAATCAGCATAAATCCTTGAAAAAGGTAGAATATAAAACAGGAGCCAAGTTTCTTTCTTGTATTGCCACCAAGCTTAATACCTGCTTAGGTTCACAGTCTTTTTAAAACTATGTGAGGCTCATTACTACCCAAAAGAATACAGGCAAAGGAATTATAACTCTGGGCCACTTTTGGCCCAACAACTTGCCAGAATCCCTGCCATAGAACAATGCTACCTTACTGGTCCCTTCAACTGTTCTACTTATTCAAACTCCAGCTCACAACTATGAGGGAAAAATAAATACGACAGTAATTCAAAGAGTACTGATACAAAATACACTAGTGTTAGTCTTGTGTGGTGCTGTGGGTTAATGTGCTGGACTGCAAAATCGGTTTGAACCACAAGGTTGGAGGTTCAAGCTTACCAGTCGGTTCTTGGGCCACTTTTGGGCCACTCTATCAGGGTTGCTATGGAACGGAACTGACTCAACGGCACTTAACAACAACAACTTAGTCTTGTTAGGGTAACTTCAAAAAAACGGTCCAATCAAAACAGTGGCTTCTGAGGGGATCTTCTGATTTAAATTCAATATAAAAAGGTCAACTCAGAAAGTTGTAACAACTGTCTGTTGCGATTCTAAAGAGGTAATACTGATACATTTTCCCAAAGGACACAGGAGGATCACAGGGGCTTATTATGAATCAGTTTAAAGAAAACTGAAAACTACATTGGTAAGGGAAAACTGAAAAAGTTGCACCAAGGATTTTTTTTTCATCATGACAATACACATGCTAGTTCTTCAAGGGTAGCCAAGGCTGTCCTGTCCTTCGTGAATATACACGACAGCCCCAAACATAACATTGGAAATATAAAGATCACAGATGGAAAAAATGAGCAACTTACAGTCCATAATTTACAGCATAGACTGTAACTAAAAATTCACACACAGTAGAAAATAAACTAGAAAACTGAGACCTCCTACAAAGCAAACATTATATACACCAAAATGGAGTTCTGGTATGGCACTGGAGGATCAGCACTGGACTGATAATCGAAAAGTCAGCAGTTCAAACCCACCACTAGTTCCCTGGAAGCCCTATACCAGGTTGCTATGAGTCAGAACTGAATCGACAGCACTGAACAACAACATACACATCAAAAGACTTCTCCAAAAAAGTGAAAAGAAAACCTACAGACTAAGAAAAAGATTCTGGCAACAACATAGCTGACAAGGGATTAATCCTAAAATGTACGCAAAACTTCAATATCTCAACAACAAAAAGACAATCCAGTTAAAAAATGGACAAAGGACTTGTACAGATACTTGTACCAAAAAACACATTCAGGCAACCAATAAATAAAAAGGGACTTCAAAAAGTTCAAGGAAAAATGGAATGAAAAGATAATGAAATGTGAAAATTATCTAACGTATCATTAATATCACAGCAAGAAAAATTCTGAAGATAACGTTAAAATGGCTGCAGCAGTACATCGACAGGGAGCTGCCAGAAATTCAAGCCAGATTCAAAAGAGGATATAGAATGAGGAATAGCATTGCTGATGTCAGACGGCTCTTGGCTGAAAGCAGAATAACAGAAAGATGTTTACGTGTGTTTTATTGACTATACACAGGCATTCAACTGTGTGCATTATAACAAACTATGGATAATATTGCGAAGAATGGGAATTCCAGAACACTTAACTGTGCTTATGCGGAACCTGTATACATACCAAGAGGCAGGCCTTTGAACAGAACAAGGGGAATGTGCGTCAGGGCTGTGTTCTTTCACCACTTAGCCAATCTGTACACTAAACGAATTATCCAAGAAGCTTGACTATATGAAGAAGACTGCAGCACTGGGATTGGAGGAAGATTCATTAACGATTTGTAATATGTTGGTGATACAACTTTGCTTGCTGAAAGTGAAGAAAACTTAAAGCACTTAGCAATGAAGATCAAAGCCTACAGCCTTCGGTATGGATTACAACTCATTATTAAGAAAACGAGAAAAGATTGAAGTTGTCAAGGATTTCATCTTACATGGATTCACAGTCAACGCCCACAGAAGCAGCAGTCAAGAAACCATATAGCATTGGGTAAATCTGCTGCAAAAGTTCTCTTTAAAGTGTTAAAGAGCAAAGATGTCACTTTGAGGCCTATGGTACAATGCACCTGACCCAAGTCATGGTATTTTTCAATCGCCTCATATGCATATGAAAGCTGAACAATGAATAAGGAAGACCTGAGAAGAATTGATGCCTTCCAACTATGATGTTGGCAAAGAATGATGAAAATGCCAGGGATTGTCAGAAGAACACATAGATCTGTCTTGAAAGAGTAACAGCCACAATGCTCCTTAGAAGCAAGCATGGAGAAACTTCATCTTGTGTATTTTGGAGACATTATTAGGAGGAGGACTACTCCCCCTAAAAAGGAGCTCTGGTAGTGTAGTGGTTACAAATCGGGCTGTGAACCTCAGGGTCAGCAGTTCGAAACTACCAGCTGTTCCCGCGGGAGAAAGATGAGGTTTTCTGCTCCCATAAAGATTTACAGCATCGGAAACACTGTACAGGGACGCTAAGTCGGAACCGACTCCACGGCACATGACAACAACACTCCCCCCAAAAAGGACATAATGCCTAGTAAAGTAGAGTTAGTGAAAAAGAGAAAGGCTTTCAACAAAAGGGACTGACACAGTGGCGGCAACAAAGGGCTCAAACATAACAATTATGAGAATGGCACAGGACTAGGCAGTGTTTCATTCTGTTATACAGAGTCACGATGAATTAGAACCAAGTCAAAGGCACCTAACAACCACAGGGGCAAAGTTATGCAAACTTCTTAGCCATAACCAAAGACCTTAAGGGACTGTTTCACTGGGCTTGAGGGCTTAGGGCTTAAGATCATAGTCTCAAAGGACATCTAGTCAGTACAAATAATACCGTCCAAAAACACAATATACTACATCTTACTTTGGTTAATAGCGACTGGGACCTTAAAAGCCTGCATGCAGCCATCTAATTATTGGTTTTTTCTTATATGAAGCAAAGAAGAGTGAAGAAAATCAAAGACTCAGTCCAATGGACTAGTGGACCACACAAATCACAGCCTTCATTATCCTGAGACCAGAACTAGATGGTACCCAGTTACCACTACCAACTACTCTGATCAGGATCACAACAGAAGGTCTGGGGAGAAAAACTAACAACAAATTCAAAATCATAACAAAGATCAGACTCATTGGACTGGTAGACCGGTGGAACCCCAAGAATATAGTTCTTAAGACACCCTTCAAACCTGGAACTGAACCCCCTCCCAAAGATGATCTTTCAGTCAAACAACAGACAGGCATATGAAGTGAACAATAACACCCATAAAGAATGTACTCCTCAGGACCAGCAACCATAGGAGACTAAACGAGCAGCAACTGCCCAAAAACAAAGTTCAGAAGGCGAGACGGGACAGAACAGATAGGCAAATGGGAACAGGGAACAAGGAGGAACTGGGAAGAGGGTTGTTACATTGAAGGAATTACAACCAGTATCATGAAGCAAAATGTGTATAAATGACTGAATGGGAAACTAATCTGCTCTGTAAACTTTCACCCAAACCACAGTAAAATGTTCATGAAAAAGATGATGAATCACTTAATTGTCACTAAGTATGAGAAAGGAGGCATCCAACATAGCTCAGTTAAAGGAAAGTCAAGAAAAACAAATGGCTTCATGCATATACTTGGGGAGGCAAAAAAAAAACCTATTGGCTCTCTATTTTCTTACAGGTTCTCTCTATTCTAGTTTTCACCCAGCATACAGTATGACCCTAGATCCCCTGCTTTAATATCATCAATGATAACATTTAAAGACTTACCAGATTCCTTTCAATATCTTGATCTGTGTTTAGCTCTAATTCATCTGCTTTAAAGTCAGTCTACAAAGAAACAAATAACTTAGTTTAGAACTGTTCAGGCACTAGAAGAGGCAGAATTCCTCTAGGACTTCCCTCTAGAAATCTACCACAGTAATTAAGAAGTTAACTTTTTGCAGTGTCTTTCCCTCATAAGCTCCATAGCAAGGGAAGTAGCATAGTTCTGGCAAAAGAACACTGACAACTACAATGCACCTATTACTTATCCCAGAAAATAACCTGAACAAGCCTCAACAACTGAATGAGAGGAAGTCTTAAGTGTGAGACAAGAATTTTGTCTCCTATGACCTATTGTGCTCATACTTCCTCCAATGACACAGCACACCAGTCACTAGAAAACAGGATACGCTGTACTTTATAAGATGTGGGTCAGAGAATTAACAAGGAGTCCTCCTGAAAGGACAAAGACGGGAAATGTGAATGCTAACAACTTACACTCATCACTTACTCAGTCAAAGACATGATGTGTATGTCATAATATTCCTGGTCTCCTTCAGACCCTGGCCACTGGCTTTATATTTATTGAACACTAGAAAGAAGTCCTTCCAAGGCACTTTATGCTAATAGTATGACGGTTACCAGTATGAACAAAGGGCAGTGCAGTTATCTACCATATATGAAGAAATGTCTCCTACCCTCAAAAAAACCCCCAATTCCAGTGAATAGTAGAAACTTGATACTTGACCTGTACAGCAATGTTCTGAGAAAGCTTCAGGGAAGAGCTATCCTGATCATCATCCAGATCCTCTCTGACTCCTTCAACCCCATTTGCTGGAGGCACTACAGGTTGGAAAGCCAAGCCTGTATCCCTGATACCTTCCTTTGGGTTGGAGGCTTGTGGGGATTGCTCTTCAGAAGAACTCGTGGAGGCAAGCTGCTTTGTATGGCACCCTGCCTTAAGAGACTGAGTGGCTGGAGGGAGGCTCTCCTGGAGGCACGTGTCCCCCTCCTCTCCTGCTGGGCTGGCCAAGTCCTTCAAATCAGACTGAGACCCACTGCCAGGAAGACAAAGGGCTGTGGCTACCAAGTTTTCTCCTAAAATCCCCCGGTGCGCTGCTGAAGTGTCACCTGCTGACGAACCGGGATTCTGCTCTGGCTGTTCCAAATGGACATTTCTGTTAGTCTCCTCGGTTATCGCTTGGCTACTTACACTCGACAGAGGCAAGTTCTCATGCTTCTGTGCAGGGTCTGTGGAACTAGCAAAAACATAAAGACAAAAAGTTTCTCTCTTCACTCAATCTTTGAGGAAGAACTTAAAAAGGATTATGTATATTATACAATACTTTGAATGTACCCATTCAAAGAACAAAGATGAGCTTACATAAAACCGCCATATTATCAGAATGAAAAGAACTTGTTTCCTATCTAGGGATCTTTATCCCATCTGTGGGTAGTATAACTTAGTGGTTAAGAAACTGGGTTCTGGAGACAGACTTCAGGAAATTCCCAAAAATAAATGACTCTGCAGATTTCCCCAAAATTTTAAGGCTAAGTTGAATATTAAACAAATAAAACTCTGGGGGAATGTAGAGAAAATAGCCTCATGCTAATTATAATACTTCATTTAGTTACACATACTAGTTAAGTTATGCATGCTATTTTAACAAATAAAATGTTAATTTAGAAATACTGGTTTTATCCCATGCTCGTGCTCAAAAAACTTTCATTCAAACTCATTACACAGGTTTTCCTTAGAATAGCTTTTTAGGTTCTTCATTCATTTTCCAGGGCATAGCATTTTCACTTCAAGTTGTCTGAAGTATAGCCAATTTTGAATATAAACTAGCAAAATATGTGTACATCAGGACAGTTGTCTTACTATTTGTCACAGTCATTTAATGTATTACTTTTTAAAGAAATCTTTAAAAGATCTATTTAAAATGACATCCAACATTCATAACTGTATGGTCTTTCACACAAGAATGACTATCGTTGCTAAATCTATGTTAAATTTCTCTGCCTCCTTTAAACAAACAAAAAAACAAGCCTGATTCTGTCAAGTGATTGACTTAAACATCCCCCAACAAGCACTGACTAAGGCTTCAAGTCAATGTGTACTTGTTTAAATGAAACAACTGCAAGAACAACTTATGATACAAAAATCTTTATAAACACTTTCTAAATACTCTAAGTTGATTCTTTTTCTAGGAGCTAATTCTGGATGGGGGGTGGGTGGGAATTACACATTCAGGCATCTACAGTACTGAAGTGTAAAGCTTGACTATTATCATTTACAAGCTGTGTGGGCAAACTACTTAACCTCAGTTGTAAAATAGAAATAATATTACCTGCCCAAAAGGACTGTTGTGAGGATTATATGAGATAATGTATATAAAGTGCTTAGTATAATACCTGGCACAGAGCAAACGTTCAATAAATCTTCCCTGTTACTATTATTACTAAGGAGTATGGGATTGATTTTATTTCTAAAATAAATAAAGCATGAGGATTCAAGTTTATGGTTAAGCTTACTTAACATTTTTCCCATTACTCATTCACTAACAAATACCACTTTCAATGAAGCAAATATTTATTAAGCACTCTGGAGTCAAACAAACTTGGATTCAAATCCCAACTCCAACACAGCTAGATAGATAACTGTGAGCAAGTTACTAATTTCTCTGTATCTCAGTTTCCTCATCTATAAAAGGAGGATAATATTAGCACTACCTCTTGGAACTGCTGTGAGAATTAAATGTGTTAATAAATATAAAGCTGATGAAACAGTATTACATATAGCATTAGGTCCTACATACTCCAGAAAAGAGGTGAAATAGAATATATAGTCATTTTAGTTCAATGTTGTACAAGACAATGTTCTAGCTGCTTTAAGATGTAAGATTAAGCCAATCACAATTCCTGCCCTCAAGAGTTTAGATGGGAGACAAAACATATACATGCAGTAACCATTATTAATAAAGATACAAACACATAAAAGAAAATGCCTTATACATATATAAAAGTATGACATATAGACTATAGTTAAATTAATATATAATTTTTAAGAAGCGCACAAACAATCCTGCTGCTGTCGAGTCTGGTAGCGTAGCGGTTACAAATCAGCTGCTAATATCAGTCTGCAGTTCAAAACTACCAGCTAGCTGTTCCCTAGGAGAAAGAAGAGGCTTTCTGCTCTGTAAAGATTTATAGGCTCGGAAACCCTATCTATACAGGGTCGCTATGAGTCGGAACTGACTCCACAGCGCATTACAACAACAACAACAGGGCAGGATAGAAGTACTCCACAGGGTTTCCCAAACTGTAGATCTTTTTTTAAATTTTTGTCTGAGGCTGTAAATCTTTGTGGATACAGACTACCACAGCGTTCTCCCAGAGTAGCAGTGGGTTCAAACCGCTGACCTCTCAGCAGCTAAGTACCTGACCACTGTACTACCAGAGCTCTTAAAAGAACATAGAGTCCATGTGAAACAAGGTGAGAAAAACTTTTATATTAAGTTTGACTCCATGTATTTTAATTTATTTAATTCAACAATATTTTAACATGCCTGCTGAGTGCTGGAACCAGAAATAAAAAACTGGATCAAACCCAGTCTCCACCTTTACAAAATTTAATCTAATGGCGTGACACCAGAACGAAGAACATAAAGACTAGCTATATACAGCTTCCATAAGAAGCCCATTACAAAAGTCCTTTACTCAAACTGTTCCCAGTCAAGAATGCACATATTACCTTAGACCATCGGGCAGACCTTCATCTGATTTGGAAGCACACAAACCAGAAGAGGATTCAGGAGGACTGGAGGCATTGGCCACACCACCCGCTATCTCAGATGCCGCCATCACGTTCTGTACAGTCAAAAACAAATTATAGGCTACAAATTTCAAATCTTATACCAAATACAGAATGGCAACACAACCCAATAACACTAATAATCATAATAAACTAGGCAAATAATACAGTGTATTCTGTAGTAGATATTAAAGAAGCCACTGCAATAGGTACCAGTGGACATCAATTCTCTGGACTGACTTTTATTTATATAAATATCTAGGGCTCTGCAAAGCTTTTATTTTCACTTCTAGCAGAATTTAACAGAAAAGACCACAGCCAGTGAAAATCTTCCAATTGTTGCACAAACCTACCTTGTCTAGTACCATTTAGAAAATGGAAAGACGCATTTTTGGCATAGTATCAATAATAGGTCATGTTTTTAAATCACTTTATGGCCGTTAAACTAAAAGCATTGTCCATTAAAGCGACATTTTTTTGGAGACGTTTATGTGTGAGAGATATTAAGCAATCCAAGTATCTTTTATCCTATCAATGTGTTCCCCACATGTGGGAAAAGTTTGACGACCAGCGATTAATGGAGAGGTTTTTCAGAATCACGCCAGGGATACAAAACATAGACCCTTGGTTATTACTCTGAGGATGGAAATGAGAAGCAGAAAGACACGGTAACAAGTGAGCCTGGAATAAGGCCTTTTTTAGAGCAAAAGGTCACCCAATCTGCTGATCAAACTCAGGGCCCTTTGTGGTTAAGAGAAAGGCAAAAACGAACAGCCGTGGAGATAGGGGAATCTGAGTGTTTTTATTTTAATACCATCATACATGTACCCCTGGGGAACCTTGGTACAGCGATTGGACTGCGTCCGCATCCAGAAACCCTAGGTGCCTCAGTTTCCCTCCTTATACAAAGCTCCTGGGAGAAAACAGGCCCTAAATCGCCATTACTCTCCTTCAGGTGCAAATACCCAACATCCCAGAGAGCCCGGAGTCAGGCGATCTCCCGAGCCCAGTAAAGGAAACCCCAAGGCAGGGGTCCTATCCAAGCCCGCGGCTAGAGAGCCCCACGGGGTAAGGGAACTAGGGTCCATCTGGCTGGAGGCTGCAGCCTGGGGTCGGATCGAATGTGTCAAAACGAGCCCCCGCACCGCAATCCAGCGGCCACGCCAGTAACGACGGCTCCTCGGGGCAGAACTGGGGTCAGACGAGTAGGGGACAATGGGGGTAGCCAGGGCCGGGTGGCCACGGCTACTGTAACAGGGGCTGCCAAGCTGGCTGCGTTCTCCCGCCAGAGCGCCCTCCATACCGTCACCTCGGCCTTCCCGCCCCATTACCATACCACATCCCACTTGCAGGCCAGGACCCCCCCACCCCCCGTCCTCACAGCACCCTCCACGCCCCCTCCTCGGACCCCCGCCCTCGTCCCGCAGCCCCCTCCCCGCGCGCCCGCCCCGCACACACCTCCGGCGCCGCGCGCCCCGGGAATGAAGGGGGCAGGACACGACGCACCTGAGCGGGCGGAGCGGGGGGGAGGGGGCGACCAAGCCACGGGGGAGGGGTCGAGCTCCAGACCGCGCGAGACACCTCCCACTTCCGGCGGCGTGAGCGAAAGGGGGCGAGGCTCGCGCCGGGAGAGGAGAAGGCGCGGTGGCGCCGCGCCGCCCCCGATGGCGCCCTCTAGCGGCGAGAGATGGAACCATCTAAGGGACCGGCGTGGCGCTGTGGACTAATGCGTCAGACTGCAAAGTTCGTTGAACTGCAAGGTCGGCGGTTCAAGCTCACCAGCTGCTCTTTGGAAACCCTATACAGGGTCGTTATGGGTCGGAATCGACTCGACGGCACTTCACAACAACAACAACAACAGGGGACCGGGATACAGCAGAAGACCCAGAAGACACAAGTGGACTCTCTAGGGCCAAAGGGAAGAAAGAAGATCCGACCGCGAAAAGGAAGGAATCCTGATAAAGAGAGGATTCCCTCTAGGAAGGCTGTATGGAGAATCGGGTTTATGGCGGACCGAGGGGGAAAGGGAACGCGGTGTTTTTAAAAGTCGGAACATAGATGCCGCTTTCAGAGGACGCCCTGAAGAAGAACAACGCTCTGGAGAGGGACCCTATTGAAGATGCCCCAAGAACTCCGGACAGTGGAGCCTCGCAAGTAAAGCCCAGCAAGTCTGTACGTTCCGGTATAAGCAGATGATGCCTGAGGAAGCAGGGTCCTCTGTCGCCGGTAGCTGTCGGCCCATCTGGCCGGGCCAGCAGGACGCGCTGCTGATTGGCTGCGTACCCGGGGCGGAAGTGATGCTACTGTCACTGGCTCTGGTTCCCGGGAAGCCGTGAGTTTCCGCAGGGAGGTGGCGGCAGCAGCTGCGGCCGGGAGGGTGAGTTGGGAAGTAGGTGGGGGCTGGACGCTGTAAGTCCGGGTGGCCTGGAGCTGAGGGGAGTCAGCATTTGAGGGTGTAGGAGCTGCATAGAGGACGCCTTTAGTCCTGCGGTAGGGGAACCCAAGGAAATGGGGCATCAGAGTCTTGAATTCGGGTAGCTGGGTCCTTCTAAGAGAGCGGCACGTTGCAAGGAACGATCATTGCCGAGGAGGTCGAATCAACGAATCTACCCTGTACATAATCTGGCTTCTAGGAGCACAGTGTAGGGTCTGCAAAGAGGACACTCGTTTAGAAGCAGAATGTTGGACTTTTAGCTTGCTCGTATTCTTCCCTCTTGGCAACTAAGAGTTGTAAAGATCGGCCTAGCTGTTGGGGAAGGTTACGATCTGTTTTCAGAGGGTATTTAAGGTTCTTTTCCCAAAAGCCTGAAGTGTAAAGTGGTGCGCTGCCAAGGCTAGACTGGGAAGAGCTCAGGTTTCTCTTCTTTTCCGGAAATGTAAGGTGGGACCTACTGAGATTTGGGGAGCCTGCCTAAATCTCTATCACTATCTGGCTACCAAAGAAGACCGGCGAAGAAACCTGCTTATCTTGGGACCGTTGAGGTTATTGGGAGGCAGAGGGGAATTTGAGAGGGTGGCTATGGGTCAGAACCAACTTAACAACAACAACAATGCAAGTAGTCTAAGAAGAAAAGAGACCTTGAGATGTGAAATGGAGTTTAGGGAGGGAAATATGTGGCAGTAAATTCATCTCTTCTTTTCCAAGGAGTTTTCAATAAAATACTTCTTTCCTGGAATGTTTAGAGAACTGAAGCTTAAAGGAACCCAGCCGCCAATAGGTGCACACATATTCTGCCCCTCATTTGCTTGTCCCCACCCAGTCTGATTTGGTTCTTTTCTTCCTTGAGAACTTCTCAGACCTGATTCCTTGGTTCTGTCAAACTATGGGTTGGGTAGTTCTCAGGTTTGGAGCCTGCTCACACTTCCAATCAGCCTGCTGATATAGTGACTGAGGATAGCTCTCACACAGTCATCCCTTCTCTCCTGGATGCCCACCTTGCCCTGTATTTTATGCCTGTTCAGTTTCAAATGAACTGGGTGACTTTTCTCCTGCTTCCCCCTGCCTTTTGTCTTCTGTAATTTGCCCTGCCTGACAGAAATATACAAATCAGGAAGTTAGTTCTTAAACCTGGACTTTTAGGAAGCCTTGTTGTTAATACTGTTGAGTTGGTTCCAACTCATAGCGACCCTGTATAGGGTTTCTGAGGAGCCTCAGGTGAGTTTGAACTGCCAACCTTGTGGTTTGCAGTCCAGTACTGATCCTACAGCACCACACCAGGAGCCTTACTACCTACATTTTCAGGAGGGGTTTTTGATAATAACTCAAACCCTCTTCTAGGCCACTCATGGGGAAGAGAGAGGTTGGGGCATGATGATTAGAGCAAAAAGTAGGCTTTCTGGGTTTTGTACTGATTTGGCCTCACTGTGGCAATTCTAGGAGCCTTGGCAGTACAGTGAGTTAGACATTGGGCTGCTAACCCTAAGGACCGCAAAGGCATTTGAATCACAAAGTCAGCAGCTCCAACTCACCTCAGAAACCCTATGTTGTTGTTAAGTGACATCCAGGTCCAGTTGGTTCTGACTCATAGTGACCCTGTATAGGGTTTCCAGGAAGCAGCTGGTGAGCTTAAACCTCTGGACTTTTAGTTCAAACCTACCTGCAGTACCACACCAGGATTCCATCCCATAAAGATTTACAGGCTTGGAAATCTCATACTACAGTTCTACTCGGTCTTATGTTGTTGTTGTTGTAATGTGCCGTGGAGTCGGTTCCGACTCATAGCGACCCTGTACAGGGTTTCCGAGGCTGTAAATCTTTACGGGAGCAGAACGCCTCATCTTTCTCCCGCGGAGCAGCTGATAGTTTCAAACTGCTGACCTTGTGGTTTGCAGCCTGATTCGTAACCACTACGCTACCAGAGCTCCTACCATCACTTATTTTGGACCCCTGGAAATGATAACTCAGTCACTGGTCAATTTCTTCAGATCCTGGAGGTCCTGACTTGCCTGTGCTTGATCTGCTGATTCAATGAAACACTGTTATTTCTGTTCTTGGGCCCCACAGGTCTGCAGTCTGTGCTCAGAAATCAGAGACCACACGACTCACAGTGAAAGAGATGCCTGTTCTCCATTTGCACAAAATGAGCAGGAGGTGGTTAGCCAGCCCCAGAGCTCAACTTCACCCAGAAGCCAGGTGGGAATGGAGCCCCTCTGCAGGGAGTTAGCCCTGAGGACAAGTGGAGGGGGTCAGCTGGGGAAGAGCTAGGGGAGGGGGGCCGCCTACAGAACTGTCCTGATTATGCCAGTAGAGTGCGGTGTACTTTTTTGTGGCCAAAATGGGAACGAGCGACATGAGGACTGCTATACAGGGTCACTATGAGTCTCTGTTGTTGTTGTTAAGTGCCGTTGAGTCGATTTCAACCCATAGCGACCCTGTATAGAGTTTCCAAGGAGCAGCTGGTGAACTTGAACCACCAACCATGCAGTTCAAACAACTTTTCAGTCTGACGCATTAGACCATTGCACCACTTGTTGTTGTTGTTGTTAGGTATCATCAAGTAGGTACCGACCCATAGTGACCTTATGCACAGCAGAGCAAAACACTGCCCGATCCTGGGCCAACCTCACTGCTGTTGCCACACTTGAGTCTATTGATGCTGCAACTTGACCAATCCATCTCGTTGGGGTCTTCCTCTTTTTCTCTGACCCTCCCTCCACCTTACTAAACATGATAGCCTTCTCCAGTGACTGTTCCTTCCTGACAATATGTCCGAAGTATGAGAGACGAAGTTTGGCCATGGCTGCACTTCTTCCAAAATGGATCTATTGGTTCTTTTGGCAGCTTATGGCACTCTCAATATTTTCCTCCAACACCATAACTCAAAAGCATCAATTCTTCTACAGTTTTCCTTATTCACTGTCCAGCTTTCACATGTATATGAGGTTATTGACCATGGCTTGGGTCAGGCGCACCTTAGTCCTCAAGCTGACATCCTTGCTCTTCAACACTTTATAAAGGTCTTGTGCAGCAGCGCCACTAGCCACTGTCAACTCTGTTGAATTATCTGGTGTGATGGGGGTTGAGCCATTGCACCATGGGAGGTCATCACTGGGGTTAATACTGGTTCACACTCCAGCTGGAGACCTAGCCCTGCTGGTGAGGGATATGCATGAATGAAAAGAGAACCAAATAATTACAAAAGAGTGACTAAGGGGTTTCCAGGTATAATACTGGTAACTCAGTCTCCCTCTCAGATTCCTGCAGGTGTCAGCTCTTTTACCTCTGATGTCCTTTCTCTTTGTCTGCAGCCTGCTGCTCTGATGCCAAAGACGAGGCCTAGAGTGCCACACTTGGATGCCCCCCTGGGTCTGCCCTCCTACCCCCGGCTGGAATTAGCTGGGCTCTTCCTACTGGTTCCCTGGGTCATGGGCCTGACAGGGACAGGAGGGCCTGAGGCCCAGAGTCCAGGGGGGCTCAGTTGGGCTGTGCATCTGAATAGCCCAGAAGGAGAGCAGATGGAAGATACTCTGGAGCAACAGGCAGATGTCCTGGCCCAGGCTGTGGGGCTGTTGAATGCTGGCCGCATTGGGGAGCTCCAGGGACATTACCTCTTTGTCCAGCCAGCTGGGCACAGGCAAGACCAGCAGGTGGAGGTCATTCGGCAGCGGGCAGAGGCTGTGCTGGCCAAGCATGAAGCAGTGCGCTGGCACTCGGAGCAGAGGCTATTAAAGCGGGCTAAACGCAGTGTCCACTTCAATGATCCCAAGTACCCACAGCAATGGCACCTGGTGAGTCCAGCCCTACAGTTTGGGGCTTCAGGTGAATAAATCCTGGATGCCCAGTTCATCAGTGAGATTTTAAAAAATGTGTTTTCAGTGAAGACTTATATAGTATTTAGGTTCCTATTTAACAGTTTCTCTCCAAGTTGTTCAGTGATACTGGTAACTTTCTTTACAGTATATGGATGTTCTTCTTATTCCCATGCTGATTGCTTCATTCCATTAATCTAGTTTCCATGTCCTGCCCCCAATATGTTCATCTTTGTTTTAAAGTAATTGTTTACTGTTTGGTCTCATTTAAGTGATTTTTTTTTCTCCTTTTTTAAAAAACAATCTTATTTAGTTGTTACAGATGTACACAACGAAGCATGCACTAATTCACCAGTCTCTCCTGTCCAAGTCAGTGGTATTGATTACGTTCTTCAACTTGTGCCGCCACTCTTACCCTCCCTTTCTGAGTGGCTCCTCCCCATTCACAGAACCTCACTGCTCCAGAAGTTGCTTATCTCATCTTTTCAATTGCTGTTGTCAATTTGATCCCGGAAAGATAGTTCTTCCAAGAGCAAAATGCTCAAGACAGACATTTTTTACCAGTGAAACTAAACTACTATTTGGTTTTAAGAAGACTTTGGAGGATACTTTGGGAGTAAGGTTTACAGATGATCACAGGGCAGTCATTTCAGGGGTCCGTTTGGTCTGCATGGCTCCAGAAAATCTGGAGTCTATGAGGATTTCAGATTCTCTTCTGCATTTTCCCCTTTTAATCAAGATTCCTCTATAGAACCTTTTACCAAAATGTTCAATAAAGATAGAATCTGTTTCTCCTGGTTTCATGATGAAATGCATGAAGTCAGTTAGCTTCCTCCTATTCTCATATTTCTATTTCCTCCTCCTATTTTCATATTGTTGTTGTTGTTGTTAGGTGCCATCGAGTCGGCACCAACTCATAGCGACGTTATGCACAGCAGAACGAAACTCTGCCCGATCCTGGGCCAACCTCACTACTAATGCCATGCTTGAGTCCATCAATATTTTCACATAGGTGATATTATTTCTTGAGCTGATCTGTTATTTAGCTACAAGGCGACCTTAGGGGCTAGTTTTGATACAAGGTTTGAAGAATATCTATGGGCAGTAGTCTCCAGTCTCAACCAGTCTAGTAGGTCTGGTTTTATTTTTCAGGAATTTGAGCTAACATTCAACATTTTTCTCCTATTTTTTCTGGGCCCTGACTAGAATGACCAGTATCGATAGCCAGGTACTTTCTAGTTCTGACCTAAGGGTAAGCTGTTTGTCCTGTTTACTAGTTTCTTTGTTGAGTCTTTGGATTCCTTCTTTGTCTTTTCTCTAGATGAATAGAGACCAATATTGTATCTTAGATGGCTGCTTGCAAGCTTTTAAGTCCCCAGACACTACTCATCAAACTGGGGTGTAAAATCTAACTTTGTGAGCACCTGGCCAAGATATCTCACAAGGCTCTTGTCCTAATCCTTCAAACCCAGAAAATCAATCCCATGAGATGTTTGGCTATGTCTAAGAAGTATCCTTAATTGTGCCTCTTAAGTGCTTTATATGGAGTTCTGATCTGGTGCTGTAGGACAAGCACTGGACTGCTAACTGAAGTTCAGACCCACCTTGGAAACCCTATACAGGGTCCTCATAAATGGGCACAGACTCAACAGTACTTATCAAAACAACATCATGTGCATTAGAATATATGCGTCACATAGATGCATATACTGTTGTTGTTAAGTGTCGTCGAGCTGGTTTTGACTCATGGCGACCCTGTAGAGTAAGTAAAAAGCATTGCTACTAGAGTCCTAGTACATACATGCATCAGTTTATCCCAAACAGAATGTGTTTAAACATGTCTCCATGATCAATGGATGCTACAGACAAGCTCTCTCGATAATAACGCTTTTGTTAGTCTCATTATGGAGTCCTGGTTATGGCACCATAGGATAGCACTAGACCTCAAGGTCAGTTTGAACCATAAGGCCAACAGTTTGAGCTCACTAGCCGCTCCTTGGAAACCCCTATATATGGTTACTATGAGTCGAAACAGACGCAACAGCACTTACCAACAAGTCTCATTATAGGAATCCTGGTATGGTGCAGTAGGGTTAGTATTGGGCTACTTACCACAAGGTTGACTGTTCAAAGCCCACTATCCACTCCTTGGAAATCCTATATAGGGTTGCTGTGAGTCGGAACTGCCTCGACAGCACTTAACAGCCTCATCTAAGTTGCAGTGGAGCATTGTCTGTTATAGTGCCTGAACAAGAGTCCCTCAGGTTGGAAGGCATTCAAAATGTGACTGGGGGAGAATTGTTTCCTCAAAGTAGAGTTGACTCTAATGATATAGATGGAGCAAAGCTTTTGGGACCTTCATTTACTAATGGGGCACACCTCAAAGTGATAAAAAACAGCTGCAAACATTCATTAATACTCAAAATGTGGACGTACAAAGTATGAATCTAGGAAAATTGGAAGTTGTCAAAAATGAAATGGAAGGAAATATGAATCTAGAAAAATTGGAAGTTGTAAAAGATGAATTGTAACACATAACAATTGATAACCTAGGTATTTTTGTAGCAACAATTTTGAGGTTGGCACAGGACTGGCAGTTTTTGTTCTGTTGTGCATATGGTTTCGCTGTGAGTTGTAATTGACTACACAGCACGTAGCAATAACCTTTTTATTGAACAACAACAAAAACCCTTTGCCATTGAGTTGATTCCCACTCATAGGGACCATATAGTACAGAGTAACACTGCTCCATAGGCTTTCAAGTCTATAAGTCTTTAAGGAAACAGACTGCCTCATCTTTCTCCTGTGAACCAGCTGGTGGATTTGAACCACTGATCTTTGGTTTGCAGCACTTATTGCGCTATGAATTTAATGGCTTGAAACCATAAACATTTTCATTATTAATAAACTATTATAATTTTCATTTAAAAAAATGAAATGGAACACATAAAGATCAATATTCGTAGGCATTAGTGAGGTGAAATTGACTACTTTTGGCCATTTTGAATGGCACAGTAATATGGTTTACTATGCAGTGTTAATTGCATTCATTGTCAAAAAGAGCATTTCATAATAGGATAGGCTGGGATAATATCCATACACCTACAAGGAAGATTGAGACCTGTTGTGGTGCTGTAGGATAAGCAATGGACTGGTAACCACAAGGTTGGCAGTTCAAACCCACCATTTGCTCTCAAAAATCCTATACAGGGTCACTATGAGTTGGAACTGACTTGATGGCACAAGACATCAACAACAAGAAAATTCAGATAATACCACTGTTACTCAAATTTACACAGCAACCACTAAAGCTGATGATAATGAAATTGAAGAACTCTATTAACCTCTTCAGTGTGAAATTGATCAAACATGTAATCAAGATGCATTCATAATTACCTGTGATTGGAATGAGAAAGTTGGAAACTAAGAGGAAGGATCAGCAGTTGGAAAACTGGCTTTGGTGATAAATAATGCTGAAGATCACATGATAGAATTTTGTAAGATCAATGATTTATTCATCGCAAATACCTTTTTCTGCAACATAAATAGTGAGAAGGCACATGAAACTCACCAGATGGAATGCACAGGAATCAAATTGACTACATCTGTGGGAGCTGATGATAGAGAAGATCAATATCATCAACCAAAACAAGACCAGGGGCCAACTGTGGAACAGACCCTCAGTTGCTCATAAGCAATTCAGACTGAAACTGAGGAAAATAAAAATAAATCCACGAGAGCCAAAATATGACCTTGAGTATAACCACCTGAATTTTCAGACCATCTCAAGAACAGATTTGATGCATTAGACCTGAGTAGGGAACTTTTTTCTGCCAAGGGCCATTTGGATATTTATAACATCATTATAACATACAAAATTATAATGTGCTGGACTGCAAAGTCAGTTTGAACAGCAAGATTGGTAGTTCAAGCTCACCAGCCGCTCCTCAGACACCCTATACAGGGTCGCTATGAGTCGGAACTGACTCCATGGCAATTAACAACAACACAGTCACATAAGAGTCCTGGTGTGGCACTGTGGGTTAATGCGCTGGACTGCAAAGTTGGCTTGAACCTCAAGGTCAGTGGTTCAAGCTCACCAGCCGCTCCTTGGAAACCCTATACAGGGTTGCTAAGGATCAGAACCAACTCAACAGCACTTAATAACAACATCATACTCACATAGGAGTCTTGGGGTAGCACTGCAGGTTAATACATTGGACTACAAGGTCGATTTGAACTGCCGGGTCGGCAGTTCAAGCTCACCAGCCACCCCTAGGAAATCCTATACAGGGTCGCTCTGAGTTGGAACGGATTTGGTGGCATTTAACAACATACTCCCATAAAGGAGCCTTGGTGGTGCTGTGGGCTAAGCATTAGGCTGCTAACCACAAGGTTTCCAGTTCAAAGAACCTGCTGCTCAACGGGAGAAAGACGAGTAGTCTGTCTCTGTAAAGCTTGACAGCTTTGCAGACCCTAAGAAGCAGTTCTACTGTGTCCTGTGAGAGCACTTTGAGTCAGAACCAACTCATTGGCAGTGGGTTGTTAAGTGCTGTCGAGTCAGGCACATGTGTCTTTGGTGGTTTTTATCTATAGCATGAATCCTCCCCTTTTTCTGTGGAATTTTCACCACATATCACTCTTTAGTCACCCCATTCATTGTCTAGGGGCTTCTTCTTGTTAAGTGCCATCGGGTCAGTTGACTCATAGCGACCCTATATAGGGTTTCTGAGGAGTGGATGGTGAGTTTGAACTGCTGACCTTGAGGTTCAAACTACCTTTCGGTCCAATGTTTATCCTACAGTCCCCCACCAGGACTCCTGGTTGTAGTGGTGTGCTATGGAGTCGGTTCCAACTCATAGTGACCCTTATAGGGTTTCCGAGGCTGTAAACCTTTATGGGAGCAAAAAGCTTCATCTGTCTCCCACAGAATGGCTGGTAGTTTTGAACTGCTGACCTTGAGGTTAGCAGTCTGATTCGCAACTACTACGCTACCAGAGCTCCTACTCTTAGTGGCCTGTTAGGTGCTCAGGCTGTGCTTCCCTTGCTCTCCACTAGGGGGCCAGGCCAGGGATCAGTGTGTAGATTCCAGAACCAGGGTGCCTGCACTAAAATTCTAGCTCTGCCATTTCCTAGCATGGGCCTTGGGACAAGCTGTTTTAATTAACCTCTTTGTGCCTCAGTTTTCCCATCTTTACAAATGGAGATTGTAACATTATTTCCGTAATAGAATCATCAGAGTCCTGTTGTGGTGCTGTAGGGATAAGCACTGGACCAAAAGGTCGTTTGAACCACAAGGGCAGCAGTTCAAATTCAGCAGCTGCTCCTCGGACACCCTATAAAGGATCACTATGAGTCAGAACTGACTCAAAAGCACTTAACAACAGCAGCAATAGAATCATGGAGTCTTGGTGTGGTGCTGTAGGGA